GGCTGCGGGGGACACACCGAGGGACAGGTAAGTGGCTGTTTTTTTAAAAGTCGGCAGCTACAGGTTTTGTAGCTGCTGACTTATTTTTTGACAGGGTGAGTGGAACTCCGCTTTAAGTAACTATTACATAACTGCCAGGGTCAGCGTTCTCTCCAGCAGGCAGAAGATGCTGGAAAGCAGTTTCATAGAAGATGAAAAGCCAAAGGTAAAGGATAAGTTCATCTTTTTCTAGATTGTAAGCTCCAAGGAGCAGGGCCCTCGAACCCCTCATGTACTGAATCGTATTGTTACTGTACTGTCTCGTGTACTGTCTCCCATTATATTGTAAGGAGCTGAGCAAACTGTTGGCGCTATATAAATCCTGTATAATAATAATAAAATCTTTTTGATCAGATTACATCCGTATTTAGGGTGTAACATATTCAGCCACCTCCCCCCCAGCACCCCTGATCTCCCATCTCCTGTGACAGCAGGCGGAAGTATCTCCCTGCATCCATCGTCATATTTAGAAAAACGACTCTGCCCGTCAATCTGTGAATGAGAGAACTACAAGTCCCATCTGTTACCACAGCACACAAACGTGAAGTTTAAAAGCGGTTGTGTGTTTAATTAGTCAATTAGTCCATTCACATTTCCTTCAACTTGGAAGTGGACAGTCCGAACAAAGGGGCTAAAAGCTGGTGAGAGCGTGTAGGCCATACACGATTCGAATTTCGAACAATTTTTTTGTCCAAAAATCGAAAAAAAAAAAGTCGTTCATTCTGTAATCCGATGGTGCCACCAATGATTTCAAATATCGGTCGTTTTTCACGGATTTTCCAGCATGCCCGATAAACGAAATGGGGAGGAACCACAAAAATCGGCCGGTGCCATTGCCCCACTAACAGAGCGAAAATAAGCCGGATTATTCTTAGGTCCGATTTTCGTATGAAAATCATTTGGAATTCGAACCATGTATGGCCTGCATAAAATTGCACCCACAACCTGCTGATTGCAGGGGCAATACTTTGCAGGCTCCTATTTAAAAAAAAATAAATTCACAATTTTAACCCCTCCTGGGGATTTACCCCCCTTCCTGAGAAGACCATTTTTTTACATTACGGCACTGAGTTATTTTAACTGACAATTGCACTGTCATGCAACGCTGCACCCAAATTAAATTTACGTCCTTTTTTCCCCACGAATTGAGCTTTCTTTTGGTGCCATTTGATCGCCTGTGAGTTTTTCATTTTTTTGAGCTATTAAAAAAAAAAAAAAAAAAAAGCCAGACAACTTTGAGAAAAAAAAATATTTTTGACTTTTTGCTATTAAAAATGTCAAGTAAAATTTTTTTTGTATAAAGAAAAAAAATCAAATTTCGTCATCAATTTAGGCCAAAATGTATACTTCTACCTCTTTGCTAAAAAAAAAATCCTAATAAGTGTAAATTAATTGGTTTATGTGAAAATTCTACCATTTACAAATGGAGGTATACATACTGGAATTTTTTTTTTCTTACTAGTAATGGCGGCGATCAGCGACTTATAGTGGGACTGCAGCGGACATTCTGACACTGGGGGGAACTGACTTGGTGTCACTGACATCCCTAGAGACACCAATACAGTGATCAGCGCTAAAAAAAAATAAATAAAAGCACTGACACTGTACTAATGGCACTGGGCAGGAAGGGGTTAACATGAGGGGTGTTCAAAGGGTTAACTGTGTGCAGGGAGTGTTTTACTGGGGGGCGGTGTGTTGGTGCTTCACTGGTAAGACCACTGCTCTGGATGGCTGTGCTGTACACAGCCATCCTGAGCATTGTACCCGAGCCCACAGGGAGGAGGACTGTTAGTTAACAAAGCAGACCTCCTCGGTAAGCACTGGGAGCCGGCGGGTAATCACCGGCCGTGACCCAGTGATTGACAGCCGTGGATGGTAGTGCCGGTAGGGTGCGCACGCCCCCTACCCAGAAATACAAAATCACACACACATGATTTTGCGCACCCCCTGCCGCCCTGTAGCAGTATATCTGCTAAAGGGAGGTCGGGATGTGGTTAACCTGCAAAAAATGTGCATTTATTATATTTTGTAAAAGGTGTATTTAGCCTTTAGGGCCAGTTCACACCACAAAAATGCACTCCAGATGATTTTGCTTACAGTTCACACCACAAACAGTTTTGATGACGTTTTCTATGTTCCAGTACAGTGCTGTGCAGAAAATGCAGCATGTTCTACTTTTTTGTTCTGCACTGGAAACTGACTGGAACTGGTGTGAACTAGGGACATTGGAATACATGGAAAACACTGCATGCATTTTTGATGAAAAAAAAAAAAAAAACAACAAAAACTATGCACTGGACTGCATTTAATGTAAACTAGCCCTTAAAGTGGAAGGAAAGACTATACCTCACCTACCCTCCTCACCTTCAGGCGCACCCTGAAAAACCCATCTCTTCAGGGAAGCCTACCTCACCCTCACCTAACAGCCGATCTCCTCCACTCCTCCTACCACATCACCCCCCACAGCTATCTCCTCCTGTACCTCTACCCCCCCTCCCTCCTAGATTGTAAGCTTGAAAGAGCAGGGCCCTTGAACCCCTTGTGTATTGTTTTGTTACTGTATTGTCTCATGTACTCCATCTCCGCCTCCCCCCTCTGCCAATCCCTCCACTGGCTTCCGATTGCGCAACGGATCAAATTCAAAATCCTAACCTGACGTACAAAGCTGTCCACCATACTGCCCCGAACTACATCACTGACCTAATATCCAAGTACCACCCAACACGCACACTCCGCTCCTCACAAGACCTCCTTCTCTCTAGTTCCCTGGTCTCCTCCTCCCATGCCCGCCTCCAGGACTTCTCCAGGGTGTCACCCATCCTCTGGAACTCCCTGCCCCAACCCATCAGATTATCACCTACTCTCCTCTCCTTTAGGCGCACCCTGAAAACCCATCTCTTCAGGGAAGCCTACCCCACCCCCTGCTAACGTGCCGACCTCCTCCACTCTTCCCACCACTCCATCCCCCACAGCTATCTCCTCCTGTGCCACCATCCCCTCCCTCCTAGATTGTAAGCTCCAAGGAGCAGGGCCCTCGATCCCCTCATGTTTTGCATTGTATTGGTATTGTTCTGTCACATGTTCTGTCCCCCTTTGTAATGTTCAGCGCTGAGTGAACCATTGGTGCTTTATAAATACTGTATAATAATAATAATGTACTGTCCCCCACTATATTGTACAGCGCTCAGCAAACCTTTTGGCGCTATATAAATACTGTATAATAATAATAATAATACCTACTAAATGTTCCTTCTCCTTTGCTTCTATACTTCCCTTTTCTTCTAAATCATCTAAGTACACTTTTTATGTCTTTCTAGGCAGTCATGTGACTGCAAAGATCCAGCTAGTCCATGCATCTGTGCTGGCCAACGACAAGTGCAGTGGTGACATCTGGCAGCATCCATAGCTGCGGGACGTTGAGGTCACACCCATTAGCAGCAATACCAGAGCTGGATCTTTGTGGTCACATAACTGCACAGAAACACTTTATTCGGATGGTGATTCAGCAGAAATGTCTGAGGAGCATTGGGCCTCCCTCACATGACCACTTAGCCATATACACTGGATTCCAGCGGCAAGAATCAGCGATTTCTTGCAGTTAGAATGACAAGTGCATGAGAATAGCGGCGACCGCTCACCCTGTGTAGACTAATGACAGGCTGACAACGGTTGCTGCTGTTGTCATGTAGCCACACACCAAGCGGGTACCTTCTGTTAGAGACAGATGCCTGAGCCTGGTCGCAGCTAACTGCATCCAGACTCGGGTATCCATGTGCAGCTACGGGGGAACAGCGGTGACTGCGGCCAGCTTGTCATTCTATTATACAGGCTGAACAGCTGCCGCTATTCACATGTGCCTGCCATTCCAGCTGCAAGAATCTGCTGATCCTTGCCACTAGAACCCAGTGTAGGTGGGTAAATGGCCATGTGAAGGAGGTCTAATGCAATGGGGTAGTAAGGGCCCTGTCACACAGGTGGACGCCACCTATTCGGTAATGACATCTCCACGTCTGGAATATCACATATCCTAAGAGGCATCCACTTCACACAGCGATCCTGGCGGCGTGTCACCAGGGGGTCACGGACCAGTTTGAGAGGACTCTGAGGTCATTCAAAATTCACTGATGGATGCACTTGACCTGACACTGACCTCCTGACCCCAAGTGGACTTCTTTCTGGCCTGCTGCTGATCTCCTGACCAGAAGTGGACCTCTTTCTGGGGTCCTGTAAATTAACAATATTATGTGGTCGATGGTTCAGGGTCACACTGCTGAACCTAGGGCATTCATATGGTGTTCAGCCGTGTGGGGGGGGGTCAATTTTCCATGAAATACATGAGGTCTCATCTGTCAGCTCCTCCTGGCCGTCTGTCACCAATGTTACATCACCCCCATCCCCCGGGAGCACAGCCCTTCAGCGCGGGTGGCGGATGTAAACATTGTGACGCAACATAGAGGAGAACACGCATCACTACTAAAGAGAACCTGTGAGGACAGAAACATGAGAGATGTCACTGATGACAATGTACCGGTTCCATGGCTGTCATCTGCCACCTCTGCCTCACTACCTCGACCATAACAGGCAGCTAGACGTCCCTGGCTGCATGCTTGTTCCACATCAAGGACACACTAATGAACACAGAATAACAGCCGCAGAACCAAACTTGTAATCTCACCAGTTTCCTCCATTAAGCTTCATTGTAAAAATGATCCTGGATCACCCGCCGGGCCCTCTCCTGCCACAATGACATTTCCGAGAGCTGAATCACCCTCCTACCCCCGGTTCACATCTATGCAGCCATGCGGGCCGCGTTTTGCTCGGGCAACAGAATGCATTCATTTGAATGGACTCCCATGACACGCAGGGAAGAAGTCCCTGCACTACTTTGGAAAACGCAGCCGAGATTCCCGGTACGGTTGCATTTCCCAGTGCGGGCGGCGCTCCATTAGAACTAATATCACCTGCCCGCGGGTCCGCATTGCTCTGAGCGGGCGGTGCGGCTGCACGGATTTTCATGCGGATCTGCAGGGGCACCACCCGCACAGATGTGAACCGGGGGAGAAGGATGGGCAGGGCATGCTGGGACTTGTAGTCACCTGCCTTTCACTTCCTGTAAACCGAACACTGCATGCTGGCTTTGTATTACAATTAGCTTTATCCAATAGATCTGACTAGGCAAGCTGGGACTTTTAGTTCCCCACCATTCTCCTCTAACAGACCTGTCAGAGCATTTTTTAATTGTTGTCCCTTGCTGTTCTCCTCTAATTGGCTGAACGGGGCATGCTGGGATTTCTAGTGCTTCACCAGCCTTCTCTAATGAGCCGAACAGGGAACTTTATGACTTGTACCCCACACGGCTTTCCTCTAAATGGCCCAACGGGGCATGCTGGGACATGTAGTCCTCCACTGGTCTCATCTATTTGGTCTGACAAGGCATTCTGGGACTTGTAGTCCCCCTAGTCACCTCTAGCAGACATGACAAGTGCATTCTGGGACTTGTAGTCCCCCTGGTCACCTCTAGCAGACATGACAAGGCATTCTGGGGCTTGCAGTCCTCCACTGGTCTCATCTATTTGGTCTGACAGGGCATGTTGGGACTTGTAGTTCTTTTTGTTCTGTGACAGGGCTTGCTGGAACTTGCAGTCCTCCACTGGTCTCATCTAATTGGCAGGGCATGCTGGGATTTGTAGTCCTCTGTCTCCTAATAGATGTGAAAGGGAATTCTGGGACTTGCAGTCCTCTACTGGTCGCATCTAATTGGTAGGGCAGGGCATGCTGGGATTTGTAGTCCTCTGTCTCCTAATAGATGTGACAGGGCATTCTGGGACTTGCAGTCCTCCGCTGGTCGCATCTAATTGGTAGGGCATGCTGGGATTTGTAGTCCTCTGTCTCCTAATAGATGTGACAGGGCATTCTGGGACTTGCAGTCCTCCGCTGGTCGCATCTAATTGGTAGGGCATGCTGGGATTTGTAGTCCTCTGTCTCCTAATAGATGTGACAGGGCATTCTGGGACTTGCAGCCCTCTGCTGGTCACCTAATTGGTCTGCCAGGGCATTCTGGAACTTGTAGTCCCCCTTCAACAGACCTGACAGGGTATGTCACCAGGTCACCTGACAGGGCATTCTGGGACATGTAGTCTTCCACTGGTCTCGTCAAATTGATGACAAGGCATGCTGGGACCTGTAGTCCCCCTGGTCACCTCTAACAGACATGACGGGTCATTCTAGCCCCCCACTAGTTTCCGCTAATAGCTCTGACAGGGAATACTTGGACATGTAGTCCCCCAGCAGATGCCCCTGTCGCCATCCATTACTATCACCCCCCTCCCCCACACAGTGACAACCTTCACATCCCCGATGCCCCCCAGGCCTGTCCCCTCGGCACGGTGCATGAAGGCCTCATTCATCCCATTACCTGAGGTCCTCCCTCGGCCCGGCTCTCCAGCTGCTTCCCCTCTTTTGTCTCTCAGCGGAATGAAAATGGCGGCTCTGGCTTCTCCTGGCCTCAATGTGGCCTCGCCTTCCCATTGGCCCGGAGCGTGCGGCGTCTTGGGATTGGCCGAGCCATCAACCGTGTTGCTAAGGGACGTCTGGTTGCCGGGGTAGAATGTGCCAGAGGGGGGAGAGCGAGCGGGGGCGGGGGAATGGTATCGGTACAGATGGCTCAGTGTACAGAAACAGGGGAGAGGAGAGGAATCACCTCATAGAATGGAGGGGAGGGGGGGTCATAGAACTACCTCATAGAATGGAGGGGAGGGGGGTCACCTGTCACCTCATAGAATGGAGGAGAGAGGGGGGGTCATAGAATCACCTCATAGAATGAAGGGGGGGGGGGGGGTGTCATAGAATCACCTCATAGAATGGAGGGGGGAGGGGGGTCACCTGTCACCTCATAGAATGGAGGAGAGGGGGGGGTCATAGAATCACCTCATAGAATGAAGGGGGGGGGGGGTCATAGAATCACCTCATAGAATGGAGGGGAGGGGGTCATAGAATCACCTCATAGAATGGAGGGGAGGAGGGTCACCTGTCACCTCATAGAATGGAGGGGAGGGGGGTCATAGAATCACCTCATAGAATGGAGGGGGGCCATAGAATCACCTCATAGAATGGAGGAGGGGGGGTCATAGAATGGAGGGGGGTCACCTGTCACCTCATAGAATTGAGGGGAGGGGGTCATAGAATCACCTCATAGAATGGAGGGGAGGGGGTCATAGAATCACCTCATAGAATGGAGGGGAGGGGGTCATAGAATCACCTCATAGAATGGAGGGGAGGGGGGTCATAGAATCACCTCATAGAATGGAGGGGGGGGGGTGTCATAGAATCACCTCATAGAATGGAGGAGGGGGGTCACCTGTCACCTCATAGAATGGAGGGGAGGGGGGTCATAGAATCACAGAATGGAGGGGGAGGGGGGGGTCACTGTCAACTCATAGAATGGAGGGGAGGGGGTCATAGAATGGAGGGGAGGGGGGGGGTCACCTGTCACTTCATAGAATAGAGAGGGAGGGGGGGTCACCTGTCACCGCATAGAATGGAGGGGGGGGGTCACCTCATGGAATGGAGGGGAGGGGGGGTCACCTGTCACCTCATAGAATGGAGGGGGGTAACCTGTCACTTCACAGAATGGAGGAGGGGGGGTGGTTGACACTTCAATTGGAAAATGGAGGAGGGGGGGGGTTGACCTGTCACCTCATATAATGGAGGAGGGGGGGTCACCTGTCACTTCAATGGAAGGAACCTGTCACCTCATAGGGAGGGGGGGTTGACCTGTCCACCTCATATAATCACTTCACCCTCAAATGGAGGAGGGGTCACCTGTCACCTGAATGGAGGAGGAGGGGTCACCTGTCATATAATGGAGGGGGGGTCACCTTATAGTGGTCACCTGTCACCTCATAGAATGAGGGGGACCTCAGACGATTAGCCGGGCCTGGATGGGGATGACATTGTGTACACTGAGGTATGAGGAGAACCATTAGGGATTTATGGGCCATTTCCTCCCCTCCCCCCTTCCCTGCATGTGCTGGGCCATGGTGGGTGGTCCTGAGTACTGAATACAGGGGCCACACACATTTTATCTACAGCTGGATAAAGCCCTTGCTCTCGGTGAAGGGCGTTCACAGCCCTCAGGTAGCCTGACTGAAAATATCTCAGAGATGACATCATCCCATCCTGCCTTGTTGCTAAGGATGTTGCTAAGAGACTTCTAGCTGTTACTGTTCACCTCCACCATCACAGGAGCGAGCTTCTTCTCTGGTTCAAACCCCCTCCAATCCCTGCTTGTCTCTCCCCTGACATAGTATCTCTGAGAACTTGCTCCTTTAATGGTGGAGGTGAGCAGCAACAGCTAGGAGCCCCTTAGCAACACCCTAGGGTGGTACATCGGGAGACTCTGGCTAGGAGCCCCTTAGCAACACCCTAGGGTGGTACATTGGGAGACTCTGGCTAGGAGCCCCTTAGCAACACCCTAGGGTGGTACATTGGGAGACTCTGGCTAGGAGCCCTTAGCAACACCCTAGGGTGGTACATCGGGAGACTCTGGCTAGTTCTCCATCAGAGACTGTGCTGCAGACAAGGCTTGTAAACGGGCGGACTGACCATTCGAGCACTCGGGCACGGCCCCGGGGTCAGTAGGGGGCCCCATGAAATGCCCCTGGTACCTTTTATAGGCTTTTTTTTGAGTGTGGGCAAGGACACAGGGGCCCATGATCCCCTATTGCGCGGGGGCCCCATGAGTTGTCAGTCCTCCCCTGCTTGTGAATAGTTCCCGAACGTTGTCCTAAGTTTACCAGTTTCCTTGGGCATCCTGTAGACCCCTAACCCTATCCCAGTTCAATTCCCTAAATCAAAACAACAAAACCAAAGATCAAGGACTGAACTCTGACTATGGATGCAAGTCTTGGTGAAGATGTGTGATGCCAGGACTTTAGGGGGACCCAAATCCCTATATAGGGATGCTGTAGGACTTTGTTGGAAGTTTGAGGGGGCTGGAGGCTCTGTGGCTAGCTAGGGGGCACTGTAATGGTCTTAGGTCCTATGAGAGGCTTGGTGGCACTGTATGATGTTGGGGAGGCATGGTGGGGGCTGAGGGCTCTCAGAGGTCCTGGGACCATGTGGGAGGCCGAGGAGCACTGCAGGTCACAATGGGAGGGTTGCATAAACAACGCAGAGGAGTCGACAGGTCTGGATGGTTGCTAAATGACACCCTCTTGCTAAGGGCCCATCATCTGTGTGTCTATGCAACTGCATAAAAGGGTGGTTCTCAACCTCCAGGCCATGGCCCGCCACTGGACCTGGCCTTCCTCCTCCTAGACTTCAAGCCAGTTGTAGAATCCCCTAACCTCCCACATCATCACCTAGCTCCCATAGTGCCGGGAGCTACAGTAGGTGATGATGTGGGAGGTTAGGGGACTCTACAACTGGCATGAACTCTAGGAGGAGGAAGGCCAGGTCCAGCAGTGGGCCACGGCCTGGTAGCTGAGAACCACCCTTTTATGCATTCACATAGAAACACGGATGATGGGCCCTTAGCAAGAGGGGTGTCATTTAGCAACCATCCAGACCTGTCTGCTCCTAGATGTTCTGTTTATGCAACCCTCCCATTGTGACCTGCAGTGCTCCTCGGCCTCCCACATGGTCCCAGGACCTCTGAGAGCCCTCAGCCCCCACCGTGCCTCCCCAACATCATACAGTGCCACCAAGGCTCTCATAGGACCTAAGACCATTTCAGTGCCCCTAGGTAGCCACAGAGCCTCCAGCCCCCCCAAACTTCCAACAAAGTCCTACAGCATCCCTTTAAAGCATGCAGCCTTCTGAAGAGACTCCATCTCCCACATTTGCCCCCAGTTCATTCCAGAAACCTCATCCCTTACCGGGGCCACCCACGCCTGCTAAAGAGTCCCCTAACCCCCTCCAGAACCTCCATCCTGCCCCTCCATGGAAATTCAATTGATGGCAAAGTGACAAGTTCCCATGAAAGAGATCCTATTAGGACTTGGGACCCTGAACCTTGGCCAGCTACAAACCCCAAAATTGTGGAGCTCCACGAGTAACAGTCATG